CAAGGGATGGGGAAGGGAGCAGAGCTGTTCCCTCTAAGCTGTGCAGCAGCCCAGCATCACAGGTGATTAATCAGCCCTGCCCAGGTAGAGGCTCAGGGCTTCGTGCGGGGAGCTGACTGACTGGGCTGCCGTGCACCTTAGAGGGAACCCTGGAGCTGGTTCTTCAGTCTCCTGGGCTGCTCAGAACCACGGTGTCCTTTCAAGGGATGGGGAAGGGAGCAGAGCTGTTCCCTCTAAGCTGTGCAGCAGCCCAGCATCACAGGTGATTAATCAGCCCTGCCCAGGTAGAGGCTCAGGGCTTCGTGCGGGGAGCTGACTGACTGGGCTGCCGTGCACCTTAGAGGGAACCCTGGAGCTGGTTCTTCAGTCTCCTGGGCTGCTCAGAACCACGGTGTCCTTTTAGGACAGCTGACTGCCTCAAGGGCATCCAGGAGCAGCTGAACTTTCTGCCTTCCCATAGTCTGGATTATCCGCCAAGTTACATGGTCACAACTACAGCCCGTCTGAGCGCACTTCCCAGAAGTCACTGGGACTTCATGGGGAAGGTGCATGGGAAGGTGAGCAAGGCTTTGGGAAAGAAGAGGGAAAACTACTAACAGTTTCAGAGGTCAGTGCACCCTTCTTATGGAACTCTTATTCCTAACTAGCCAATTAGCCCGTCAGAAGACGGGATTTTCAGGTCTCTCTTCCATGTCGGTCTTCTCTCCTGAGCCTCTGGTCTCTCATAGAACCATAGAATAGAATCATAGAATCATAGGACTGGAAGAGACCTCGAGAGGTCATCAGGTCCAGCCCCCCGCCCTCAAGGCAGGACCAAGCTCCGTCTACACCATCCCTGACAGATGTCTATCTAACCTGTTCTTAAATATCTCCACAGAGGGAGATTCCACCACCTCCCTTGGCAATTTATTCCAATATTTGACCACCCTGACAGTTAGGAATTTTTTCCTAATGTCCAATCTAAACCTCCCCTGCTGCACTTTAAGCCCATTACTCCTTGTCCTGTCCTCAGAAACCAAGAGGAACAAATTTTCGCCTTCCTCCTTGTGACACCCTTTTAGATATTTGAAAACCACTATCATGTCCCCCCTTAATCTTCTTTTTTCCAAACTAAACAAGCCCAGTTCATGAAGCCTGGCTTCATAGGCTTCTCTAGACCTTTAATCATTCTTGTCACTCTTCTCTGTACCCTTTCCAATTTCTCCACATCTTTCTTGAAATGTGGCACCCAGAACTGGACACAGTACTCCAGCTGAGGCCTAACTAGTGCAGAGTAGAGCGGCAGAATGACTTCACGAGTTTTGCTTACAACACACCTGTTGATACAACCTAGAATCATATTTGCTTTTTTGGCAACAGCATCACACTGTTGACTCATATTCAACTTGTGGTCCACTATGACCCCTAGATCCCTTTCCGCCATGCTCCTTCCTAGACAGTCGCTTCCCATCTTGTATGTATGGAACTGATTGTTCCTTCCTAAGTGGAGCACTCTGCATTTCTCCTTATTAAACCTCATCCTGTTTACCTCTGACCATTTCTCTAACTTGCTAAGGTCATTTTGAATTATGTCCCTATCCTCCAAAGAAGTTGCAACCCCACCCAGTTTGGTATCATCCGCAAACTTAATAAGCGTACTCTCTATCCCAATATCTACATCATTGATGAAGATATTGAACAGTACGGGTCCCAAAACAGACCCTTGAGGAACTCCACTTGTTATCCCTTTCCAGCAGGATTTAGAACCGTTAACAACAACTCTCTGACTACGGTTATCCAGCCAATTATGCACCCACCTTATCGTGGCCCTATCTAAGTTATATTTGCCTAGTTTATCAATAAGAATATCATGCGAGACCGTATCAAATGCCTTACTAAAGTCTAGGTATATGACATCCACCGCTTCTCCCTTATCCACTCCGGGCCGCCGTGGGGAGCAAGTGGCGCAAACGCTCTCTCTCTCTCTTCTCCTCCTACTGCCTTGCCCTCTCTCTCTCTCAGCTCTCCTCCACCTTCTGTCTCTCTCTCTGTCTCTTTCTCTTTCTCTTCTCCCCCTCCCACCTCTCACTCTGTGTTTCTCTTCTCCTCCTCCTGCTGCATCTCTCTCACTCTCTCTCTCACTGTCCTCCACCTCCTCCGTTCTCCTCTCTGTCTCCTCCATGTCCTCTGTATCTGCCCCGCTTTCCTCCTTTTGAATCCAGCACCCTTTCCTGAAATCAGAGACGCATGCTCGTCCAGGCCCTGCCCCCTGGCTGTTCCCTCTAGGGGGCGCTGTTGCCTCCCGCCGTGGTGCTCGGCTGACTTCTGCGCTGCTCAGCCGGGCCGCCACGTGGGAGCAAGCAGCGCAAGCAACCATTTGGGCTCCGCGCTCCCCATGCATCACCCCCGTGCGGCGGCCCGACTGAGCAGTGCAGACGTCAGCCGAGCGCCACGGCGGGAGGCAACAGTGCCCCCTAGAGGGAACAGACAGCGTTTCAGTGTTACAGAGTCACAGACAGTGGGCTACTATATATATGATTACATGGATATAGAAACAGAGGAGACTCAAGTAGGAGAGAGAGGTTATTTTACCTTTCTATGTGGTGATCAATTGGGGAGGGTTCAGAGAAGAGCCACAAGAATGATTAAAAAACTAGAAAACATGCCTGACAGTGATAGGTTCAAGGAGTTCCATCTATTAGTTTAACAAAGAGATGGTTAAAGTGTGACTTGATCCCAGTCTATAAGTTCCTCCATGGGGAACAAATATTTGAACATGGGCTCATTGGTCTGATAGACAAAGATATAACATAATTCAAGGACTGTAAGTTGAAGCTAGATACATTTGGATTGGAAATAAGGTGCCATTTTTAACAATGAGGATAATTAACCATTGGAATAATTTACTGAGCAATGTAGTGTCATCACAAGCCATTTTTAAATCACAACTAGATGTGTGCATTGTCAAAATAGAGATTCAATGTTAAATTGATGACAACGTGCTTAGTGTCTACACTTTATAAAATGCTTGTAGGATGCTGCATGTATTAAAATCTCTGTGGTCCATGGTATAAAGTAGTTTTGAGCATTTGTGTTGTAAACCTCTGTATGTGTGTAATTCACCAAACAGGACAAGAAGTGTTAATTAAGATAACGTGCTCACTGTGCATACAGGATGGCCCATGGAAGAAAGACTCTGAGGGTCAAAAATTTCTAAACATAAGAAAAAAGAGATGCCCATGCCGCTGGTTAGCCCTGAGATATGACAGATTACTACATTCCTGTCAACTTTTACACCCCAGACAAACTAATTTCTGTCCATGTGCTGCTAACTTTAATCCCTAAATAACTCTCTTAGGGTATGTCTACACTACCACCCTAGTTCGACCTAGGGTGGTTAATGTAGTCATACGAACTTGCAAATGAAGCCCGGGATTTGAATTTCCTGGGCTTCATTTGCATGTTGCCGGGCGCCGCCATTTTTAAATGTCCGCTAGTGCGGACTCCGTGTCCACGGCTACACGCGGCACGAACTAGATAGTTCGGATTAGGCTTCCTATTCTGAACTATCTGTACACCTCATTCCAGTCAGTTAGCAAGGCTCTTGATACGATCTCCCACAATATTCTTGCCAGCAAGTAAACAGAATGTGGATTGGATAAATGGACGGTAAGATGGATAGAAAGATGGCTAGAAGGTTGGACCCAGTGGGTAGTGATCAACAGCTCGATGTCAGGATGGCGGTCAGTTTCTAGCGGAGTGCCCCAAGGTTCCATTCTAGGAACAGTTTTGTTCAACATCTTTATTAATGACCTGGATGAGGGGATGGATTGCACACTCATCAAGTTTGCAGATGACACTAAGCTAGGGGGAGAGGTAGATACGCTTGAGGGCAGGAATAGGGTCCAGAGTGACCTAGACAAATTGGAGGATTGGGCCACAAGAAAGCTGATGAGGTTCAACAAGGACAAGTGCAGAGTCCCGCATTTGGGACGGAAGAATCCCAAGCATTGTAGAATCCCAAGCATCAAGTAGGAATAAGGGATCTTCTGGAAAAGGGCTTATTTTCCGCAAGATCCCGTCTAGACTGGAGCTTTTCTCCGGCAAAACCCCGAGCTGGAAAAAAGCGGCAGCCATGTTCATGCAAATGCCACGGGGGATATTTAAATCCCCTGTGGCATTGCAATTCCGAAGTGTCTCATTAGCATCCCTTTTCCGGAAAGGGGTGCCAATGTAGACACAGCCACTGTGTGTAGATTGCCTATTAAGCACTTTGAGATGGAGTGGTGAAAATCAATGAGGTGTATAAAAATGAGGTATTGTTATAGGGATTTCATGCTATTTAAAAACACATGAGATTTGCAGATACTCACAGGATGGGATCCCAGTGATAAGCAGTGAGCCAGGGTACAGAGCAGAGCTGTAGAACAGTGTTGAACCATTACATCAACGATGGGAAATAGCCTTAATGTAGAGCTATTTGCTCACCAGTACATAGCAGTAATTATCCATGTGCACAGCGGCGCTTTATTCCTTTGTTCTTCTGGGCTTGCCTTCAAGCACCTCACCGCTTTCTAATCTTCTCGTAGGTGGACATGCTTCTGCGCCACAAAATCCATAGCCCAGGCCTCCCTGCCATGTCTGCCATCGTCATCTACAATGACACCGTGCTCTGGACAGGCAACTTTGGGAAGAAGAATGGCTCTGACCCCTTCTCAGCAATGCCCAATGAGTACACCATTTACAGGTGGGTTTGTGGGAAATGTCTCGTGACCACGGTCCCCCAGAGAGAGTGAGAGGGTTGGGTACAATTCATTGCAATTCAATTACTTAGGTACATTTTGAAATCTGAAAATATCCCTTCCTCTTCTGAATGTGGGGCAATAAGAATGGAACAGCCCTTAGGGAGCCTCCCTTGAAGGTGCACCAGGTGCAGTTACAAGGAGAGGTCTATTGTTTGCCTTGTTTTTGTGGTCGTGTTGGTCCCAGGACATGAAGGAGATCAGGCAGGGAGGAAAGTACCTTTTCTTGAGCCAAATGGAAAGGACGAGAGTCACCGGCCTCTTCCTCAGGTCTGGGAACAGTAATCCGAGTGTCTGTGCTATAGATGGATTGGAATGGATTGCGCAGCGAAAGTTTCCCACATATAGGAGATGACTTAAAATAAAGGGCTAGCAGCAGTAGGGTGCAATGTCTTGTAATGAGCCATAAAACTCACATCTCAGCTAAGGCCGTGTTTTTCGTATACAGCCAAAGTCTGTTCCGTATTGTTGTGCTGAGTCTCTGTTACATTGGCTTTGGAGGAGTTAATATTGTTGTAGGCTTGCATCTGGGCCAACCTAACACGGGCTCCTTCTGCCAGGCATTGTCCAAACAGAGTAGTAGACAGTCAGGGTACGTCTACCCTGCATGTGTATTTTGAAATAAACTGTCCCGGAGGAAATACTCCAAAATAGCTTATTTCCAAATAACATCTACACTACAGGGAAGCCTCCAAATCAGTCTGAGGCAGGCTTCCCCAATGTGGACACACTACCTCGATTTAGAAACCCAGGAACCACTGGGGAGAAGTTAGTTTGAATGGCCGGCCAGGAGGAGGAGCTATTTCAAAATAGCAGCAGTGGAGCATCCACAGTACAGCTATGTTGAAATAGCCTTTTCAGAACAGGTGTTATTCCTCATGGAATGAGTTTACAGAAGTCGGAATAAGCCGCTCGTTATTTCAAAATAACAGAATTGCTGTGTGGATGCTCACGTTGTTATTTCAGAATAACACCAGTTATTACAAAATAACTGGGCTGTGTAGACACACCCTCAGACAGCCCTGCCCCCAAAGAATTGACAATCTAAATAGATCAAACAGACACAGGGTGCTGGAGAGTTAGAACACTCAACAGTGTGATGGCAGAAAATACCATGTTAGTTACACAATTCCTTTAGTGATTCAGGGCAGTTTAGTTTGAAACTGATAAGCCAAGTGGAAAGAAAAGGTGGGGAGGAGGGAAGGGCAGGGGAGAAGAGGGTTGGAGCAAACAGCTAATCAGCACAGGTCAGTGGAAGTCCAGCCTAAATTGTAGAAAGTTCTGCAAAAAGCTCCTCTCTTCAGTTCTTTCCCAAGTCCATGGGAAAGGGGGACAACACCTGGTTCCTAGAGGGCCCCCAGAGTGTGGGGGTCTCTCCTGCACAGCTGTGTCCTGGGGATGTTGGGTGCAGGAGTGTCCCCTGTTGGGTCTCATTTCTCCCCTTCCCCTATGCTACAGACTCTAGCATTACAGCTAGACAACAGCTTCTATTATCTTCCCATATTAAACATACTGGCTACGTCTCGACTACATCCCTTTTTTGTAAAAGGGATGCAAATTAGATGTATCGCAATTGCTAATGAAGCGGGGATTTAAATCTCCCCTGCTTCATTAGCATAAAAACGGCTGCTGCTTTTTTTCCGCACGGAGCTTTGTTGGAAAAAAGTGCCAGTCTAGACGCTGATCTTGCAGAAAATAAAGCCTTTTCCGAAAGATCTCTTATCCCTTATTTCAAAGAGGGATAAGGGATCTTTCGGAAAAGGTTTTATTTTCCGAAAGAGCCACATCTAGACTGGTGCTTTTTTCTGGCAAAGCTCCTGGCCGGAAAAAAGCGGCAGCCATTTTTTTTCTTATGAAGTGCCAGTCTAGACGCTGATCTTGCAGAAAATAAAGCCTTTTCCGAAAGATCTCTTATCCCTTATTTCAAAGAGGGATAAGGGATCTTTCGGAAAAGGTTTTATTTTCCGAAAGAGCCACATCTAGACTGGTGCTTTTTTCTGGCAAAGCTCCTGGCCGGAAAAAAGCGGCAGCCATTTTTATGCTAATGAAGCAGGGGAGATTTAAATCCCCGCTTCATTAGCAATTGCGATATGTCTAATTTACATCCCTTTTATGAAAAAGGGATGTAGTCTAGACGTAGCCACTGTCTGCTCACTGAAGCATTTACCATTTGGGATGAAACTTTCAAACTTGGCTTCTGCAAATAGGTGGATTTTATCTTATTTTTTAAAGTGTAGGCAACACCAACTGCTTTTTAGTTCCATCCGAGAGAAAAGAGAAATGTTTCCACTGCAGAAAAACCTAATCATCATTTTCTGTGCAGATATCTAATGCCTGAAACTTGGCCTGTGCATAATCCCTACTGACCGTTAAGGATTTTTTTTTGTTTTTGGCTTAGGGAAAACACGGGGATCATTTAGCAAGTTATGAGTATTTGGGAAATCTACCCTGAGTGCCCAGTAGATAAAACCAGTAAGGACTTACTCCTTCCCCCCTGAAGTCAATGAAGGGTTAGTCATTCTCTTAAATGTGCGCTCAGTAGGTTCAAGCTCAGGCCCTTCAAAAGGATGCTCTGCACATGTCTGAAGCAGGTTTTTATCTTCTTTGCTACATTTAAGTATTTATCATTTTAAATCTATTGAACTGATTTTCCTCAAACTTGATATTTTGGTAGATCTCGTTGAAATGCTAAGGTTGATGAAAATCCCTAATAATTTTAAATTTTTGCACATTTAAAATTAGTATGTCAAAAATTTTGGCTTTGCTCTTAAAGTAGTTCAAAGCTCCAGTAGCTTAGAAAGGCTCGAGGTGCTGAAATTCTCCAGATATAGATGGTCCCAGAAACTGCTGAGTTAGAACACCGATCACTTCTACACTACTAACCAGACTCTCTCCAAATGTGACTAGTCTTGTCCGTCAGGGTAGTGAAGTTCTTCACATTTAAATGAAGCACAGCTTAAAATGGGATAATGTAAACTGAAGTCATCCTGAACCTGTTTTGTCTTGAACCCGGTCCACCCTTGCGTGGCTCTTCACTCTTACCACAAATCTACTTTCACCCTTCAGTTGTTTTTCACAATTTAAAGGGAAAACAACAGCTTTTTCCTTAGCAGCTCTGCTCCCTGTGGGCCCAGGACTGGAACCAACCCTCACCTTGGTGAGCACATTGAATTGGAAGCAACCCTATTGACTTCAGTGATGTTCTGTGCAGCTAGGGGCTTGCCAACAAGAATAAACATCCCCCACACCTGAGTCCTACACACAGCAGGTAATAATATACCCAGAGCAGAATCCATCAGCAGCTTATCGTCTGCAATGGTGGTTGACACATGACGTGGCATACAGCTTTTTAGTGCATTCTTCTGGCATGTAAATATCTTTTGATAGCACAGAATCATAGAGTACTAGAGTAATAGAATCATAGGGCTGCAACAGACCTCAGAAAGTCATCTAAAAGCAGGACCAAAAAGCAGGACAATAACAGCACTGTACAAATGCCTGTTCTCATTTCCAGATGACATTGTCAACAAGAAGCCAGCAGCATTACCCCCCTGAAACTGTAAATAAACTTGTTTCTCTGCATTATTGGTGGTGTAAGAAGTAGGACTGAGTAGACTTGCAGAGTTTTACAGTTATTTTGTACATAATACTATAGTTATAATTTCAAATTTCATGATAAAGAGATTGTACTACCGTACTAATATAAGGTAAATTATAATACTATTGTTTTTACAATGAAAATATTTGCAATAAAAATGAATATTATCTTTGGGTATGTCTACACTTGCAGTCTATTTCAGAATAGGGCTGCAAATGTAGGCATTCGGAATTGCAAATCAAGCCTAGGATTTAAATATGGAGGAGAGTCCTGAAAATCCCATCTTATGATGGGCTAATTGGCTAGTATAATAAGAAAAGCCAAAGAGGAGTTTGAAAAACAGCTAGCCAAAAACTCAAAAAGTAATAGCAAAATGTTTTTTAAGTACATTAGAAGCAGGAAGCCGGCTAAACAACCAGTGAGGCCCTTGGACAATAGAGATGCTAAAGAAGTCCTCAAGTAAGATAAAGTCATAGTGGAGAAGCTAAATGAATTCTTTGCTTCAGTCTTCATGGCTGAAGATATTGGGGGAGATCCCCAAACCTGAGCCATTCCTTTTAGGTGACAAATCTGAGGAATTGTCCCAGATTGAGGTGTCCTTAGAAGAGGTTTTGGAACAAATTGATAAACTTAAAAGTAACAAGTCACCGGGACCAGATGGCATCACCCAAGTTCTGAAAGAACTTAAATGGGAAACTGCAGAACTATTAACTGTGGTTTGTAACCTATCCTTTAAATCAGCTTCTGTACCTAATGACTGGAAGATAGCTAACGTGATGCCAATATTTAAAAAGGGCTCTAAAGGTGATTCTGGCAATTATAGGCCGGTAAGTCTAACATCAGTACCGGGCAAATTAGTTGAAACTATAGTAAAGAATAAAATTGTCAGACACATGGATGAATATAATTTGTTGGGAGAAAGTCAACATGGTTTCTGTAAAGGGAAATCATGCCTTACTAGAGTTCTTTGAGGGGGTCAACAAACATGCGGACAAGGGGGATCCAGTAGATATAGTATTCTTAGATTTCTAGAAAGCCTTTGACAAGGTCCCTCACCAAAGGCTCTTAAGTAAAGCAAATTGTCATGGGACAAGAGGGAAGGTCCTTTCGTGCATTGATAACTGGTTAAAAGACAGGAAACAAAGGATAGGAATAAATGGTCAGTTTTCAGAGTAGAGAGAGGTAACTAGTGGTGTCCCCCAAGGGTCTATCCTGGGACCAATCCTATTCAACATATTTATAAATAATCTAAAGCAGTGTTTCCCAATTTTATTTGGCCACGGAACCCTTTTAAACTTGAAAGAATTTTGTGTAACCCCTAATAACAATCTTATCTATGGAGCTGAAAAAGTAGACCACAAATAAATAAGGATAATAATAAACAAATGCTAAACAAGGCCATTAGATCAACATTTATTTTAATTGCACATATTTAAAAACAAAAATCACATTTAATGTGTACAAAAAATAAAGCTAAAAAACAAATATGCATTCAATATTAATTATTGTTTTTTAAAAATCATAAAATGTTATTGTAATGTAATTTTCTCATGGAACCCTTATTTTCACTTCGCAGAACTCCGAGGCTCCACAGAATACTATTTGGGAAACAATGATCTAGAGAAAGGGGTAAACTGTGAGGTGGCAAAATTTGCAGATGATACCAAACTGCTCATGATAGTTAAGAGCAAAGCAGACTGGGAAGAGCTTCAAAAATATCTCACCAAACTAAGTGACTGGGCAACAAAATGGCAAATGAAATTTAATGTTGATAAATGTAGAGTAATGAACATTGTCAAACACAATACCAAATATGCATATAATATGATGGGGACTAATTTGGCTACAACTACTCAAGAGCACGATCTTGGGCTGTGTCTACACTGGCATGAATTTCTGGAACTGCTTAAAACGGAATACTATTCCGTTTTCAGTTTTTCCAGAAAAGGAGCGTCTACATTGGCAGGCTGCTTTTCCGGAAAAGCCCTTTTTCCGGAAAAGCGTCTGTGGCCAATGTAGATGTGTTTTTCTGGAAAAGAGCCCCGATCGCCATTTTTGCGATTGGGTCTTTTTTCCGGAAAAGACTACTGGGCTGTCTACACTGGCCCTTTTCCAGAACAGTGTTCCAGAATAAGGACTATGCCCGAGCGGGAGCAGAATAGTTTTTCCGGAATAGCGGCTGATTTTGTACAGTAGAGCATCGTTGCTTTTCTGGAAATTCAAGGGCCAGTGTAGACAGCTCGCAGCTTATTCCAGAAAAGCGGCTGATTTTCTGGAATAAATGGCCCAGTGTAGACACAGCCTTGGAGTCATTGTGGATCGTTCTCTGAAAACATCCACTCAGTGAGCAGTGGCAGTCAAAAAAGCAGATAGAATGTTAGGAGTCATTAAAAAAGGGATAGAGAACAAGACAGAAAATATCTTATTTCCTCTGTATAAAACAATGGTACCCACATCTTGAATACTGCGTACTGATGTGGTTGCCTCATCTCATAAAAGATATATTGGCATTGGAAAAGGTTCAGAGAAGGTCAACAAAAATGATTAGGGGTTTAGAATGGGTCCCATATGAAGAGAGATTAAAAAGACTTTAACTTTTCAGCTTAGAAAAGAGGCGACTAAGGGGGTCTATGACAGAGGTCTATAAAATCATGACTGGTGTGGAAAAAGTGAATAAGGAAAAGTTATTCCCACAATATAAGAACTAGGGGTCACCAAATGTAATTAATAGGCAGTAGGTTTAAAACAAACAAAAGGAAGTTTTTCTTCACTCAGCACATAGTCAACCTGTGGAACTCCTTGCCTGAGGATGTGGTGAGGGCTAGAACTTTAACAGGGTTTAAAAAAAGATCTAGATAGATTCCTGGGGGTTAGGTCCCTTAATGGCTATTAGCCAGGATGGGTAGGGATAGTGTCCGTAGCCTCTGTTTGTCTGGAAGTGGGTGACAGGGAGACGGATCATGTGAGGATTCCCTGTTGTATTTCCTCCTTCTGGGGCATCTGACACTGGCCACTGTCAGCAGACAGGACACTGGGCTGGATGGACCGTTGGTCTGACCCAGTGTGGCCGCTCTTATGTTCTTTTGTTCTTAAATATACACAAGTGCCTCAGGGGTTGTAGAAAACCCTGTACTCTCCTGTATTATTGCTATGTGAGTTCATGAGTGAAGGTTTTACTCTAATGCACATGGGCAACTGGGCCAGAGTTATAAAAGTTCAGGCTTAACTTTCATTCTTCCGACTTTTGGTCCCTTTTGGTTGCATTAATGCACGTTTTACATTTAATGAAGTGACATATAATCAGCAGCCTGAGCAATGAGACGCTGAGCACCCCTGCAATGCTTTCCCTGTTTGGATATGATTAGAACAGCTGACCAGTTCAGGGAGAGCTTGGCCCATGGCCTAGTTCATGCTAGACCAGAAGCTGGTGGTGAAGCCATGTAACTATTTGTCCCGTGACAGGATTGCCAGCATCTCCAAGATCTTCCCGACCATCATGCTTTACAGACTGTGGGAAGAAGGGAAGGTGACATCTCTGGACGACCCTTTGGAACGCTATGCCCAGAGCTTCGTTATTAAAAATCCTCTGGGGCGATTCAAGGAATCTGAGCAAAGATACACAGCTGATGGGCTTATCTTCCTGGAGAAGGGGTCGCTGCCCCTCAAGCCATCTCTGGTTACACTGCGCAGGATGGCTAGCCAGCTCTCAGGTGAGAGAACCCCCCTCCTCGAGTCTTCAACCCTCACCTGTTAAAATAACTCCACTCCCTCTAGCCAGAGAGCAGGTCACAGCAATGCAAAAATCTCTACCTGTGCATTTGTCAGACAGGGCAACAGTCCCCTCCTGGTGTGAACCAGAATCCTCTAGCAGCTCCAACAGGCAAATCAAAGGAAAGCCTCTCTCCACACCAGCTATTAGGGGTATGTCTGCACTGCACACTAATTTTGAAATAAGCTGTTCCGGAAGAGTTATTCCAAAATAGCTTATTCCAAAATAGCACGTCTATACCGCAGGGAAGCCTCAAAATGAGTCCAAGGCAGTCTTCCCTACTGTAGATGTGCTATCTCGATTTAGAGCTCCAGGAGGCACTGGGGAGGAATAACTTAGAATGGGCCTGGGGAGGGGCTATTTTGAAATAGCAGCAGTGGAGCATTTACACACACCTTATTGTGACATGGCTATTTCGGGATAGGCGTATTCCTCGTAGAATGAGGGTTACAGATTTTGGAATAAGCCGTCTGTTATTATGAAATTATTTGGAAATAACGGAATGGCTGTGTCGACCTTCTCATGCTTATTTGAAAATAATGCTAGTTCTCTCGAAATAATGGTGCAGTGTAGACTAGGAGGTGCACTGAGTTGGTCTGTTGTCTGGTATGTGCATCCCACTGACTGAGCTGGTAGAAGCCACAATGAGCAGGTCTTCCCCTGGCCAAGCCAGTTTGAGCTACTGCTTCCTAGCAGAGTAACTTTGCTTTGCAATTCAGGCACCTGCATTAAAATCAGGGATTAAATGCAAGGGAGCTTCTCACAATGTTTCCCCTCAGTCCTGAGTGCTCTCTCTGTCTGAGGATTCAAAGGGTACCCGAGTTGGTCTGTAACTGGAAAAACTTAAAAAACAACAAATAGTCCAGCAGCACCTTAAAGTGTTCTTAGTCTTTAAGGCGCTGCTAGGCTGTCTGAGGAGTGAAGTGGGGAGGCAGAGAATTGCTGCGTGTTGTTGGTTTGAAGGGCAATAGCTTTTATACTCAAAATATAGCAGTGCAGCCTCCTGCTCTGGGATTCCGAGCGCTCACTAGCATGGTGTTTGTCAGCTTGGGATGGCTCCTACTCTGCTGTTCTCCTACAAATGAGTCAGTTTGATAGTAAAGTAGCTAGAGATGGCAGGGCCTGCTAGAATGTGGAGATCCCTCACAAGGTTCGGCTATTAATGCCTGCTCTAAGCATGCCTTGACACTCCCTTAGAAGCATGTAGATTCCACTCGAAGCCCAGAATCGGTTGGCATCCCTATTCGGAGACCTTTTTGAAGCAGGCAAACTTGGCATAGAATCATAAAGCTGGAAGAGACCTTAGAAGGCATCAAGTCCTGCCCCCTGCCCAAGGCAGGACCAATCCCAACTAAATCAACCCAGCCAGGGCTTTGTCAAGCCGGGACTTAAACACCTCTTGGGACGGAGACTCCACTACTTCCCTAGGTAATCCATTGCAGTGCTTCACCATCCTCCTAGGGAAATAGTTTTTCCTAATATCCAACCTGGACCTCTCCCACCACAACTTGAGCCCATTGCTCCTTGTTCTGCCATTCGTCACTACTGTGAACAGCCTCTCTCCAGCCTCTCTGGAACCTCCCTTCAGGAAGTTGAAGGCTGCTATCAACTCCCCCCTGCTAGAACCCAGCCAATGGGAATGTACGGGGGGTGGGATGGCTCCTAAAACTTCCCCACTCCCCTCCTAGAAACCAGCCAATGGGAATGTACGGGGGGTGGGATGGCTCCTAAAACTTCCCCACTCCCCTCCAGTTTCAAAACAGAAGCAGAGCCCTGCATCTGCTTTTCTGCACGGTGTGTGGGGCTGCGGGGCAAGCTGGGGAGCCTGCCTGGGGCTCCCCACTGCCTCCACGAGCTGGGTCTGGGAGCTGGGCAGGCCACATGCAGCCCGCGGGCTGTATTTTGCCCAGGCCTGTCTTAGGGGAAGCTTTTTACAGCAAAAACAGTAATAGACGATGCAGCCTCTCCAGCCTACACGCCTGAGCTGCATGCTGTAAAAGCCACTCACCCCTCTGAGCAGAGACGGGCTGGGAGGGAAGTGCTACGTTGCTAAGATTTTATGATATTGAAATGTACTTGGACTTGAATTGTACTATGAGATGCTGTTTTAAACAATTCACACTCCACTTGTCATGTCAATCGACTAGTTATGTTGTGTAAGGCAGTGACCTTGGGTTTTCGGTTATGCTCATTCACTCCCCGACTTGGAGATTTCAGAACCTTGCAATGAACCTTCCAGTCAGTGTATCAGCCTGCAGAGGAGCTGAGTTTGAAGTCTGTGGTGCTGACTCCCAAGACGAGAGCGTTCAGTGTCTCTCTGAAGGCCAGTAAGTCGCACAAGAATAGAAAACACTTCACTTCTCAAGTCAGCTATTCCAGCAGCAGCTCCCTGGCTATACAAGAGGTCGTGGGTCTCAGCCCAGGCCTTCAGAATCGTATGCAGGCCTCCGACCGCAGCCACCACCAGCAGCTCATTTGGGTGAGGGGAGAAGCCCAGTGGCGTGCTGCCTTGCAAAAGGCCCCGCCCATAACACTCCTGATCTGCTGGGAACTTGACTTGACCAGAACATTTGAGTGATCAACTGAGAGTGATTCTTGACTGGCTGTGACCAGTGTCCCTCTAACATTCTCCATCCCTAGGCGGGTTGAGTTTTCTTTTGGGTGCTGAAATTGCTTATGTGCACCACCAATACTGAGGCTGTGTGTGGATGTGCAGTGTCCAACAAAACCTAAATACAAATATCTATTTTAAATAGTCCATACTTCCATAGGTATAAAAGGCAACATATTGTAACAAGGTATAATTAACAAGGAACAATGCTTAAGATGTTTATTTAGTATGAAATCAAATAAGGAAAATTAACACTACCCGGCTACGTCTACACTGGCATGATTTTCCGGAAATGCTTTTAACGGAAAAGTTTCCCATTAAAAGCATTTTCAGAAAGGTGCATCTAGATTGGCACAGACACTTTTCTGCAAAAGCACTTTTTGTGGAAAAGCGTCCATGGCCAATCTAGATTTTCCGCCAAAAAGCCCCGATCGCCATTTTCGTGATTGGGGATTTTTTGCAGAAAATAAATCTCTGCTGTCTACACTGGTGCTTTTGCGCAAAAGTTTTTCGGAAAAAGACTTTTGCCCGAACGGGAGCAGCATAGTATTTCCGCAAAAGCACTGACAATCTTACATGAGATCATCAGTGCTTTTGCGGAAATTCAAGTGGCCACTGTAGACAGCTGGCAAGTTTTTCCGCAAAAGCAGATGATTTTGCGGAAAAACTTGACAGTCTAGACACAGCCCCCTTGAAGTACATGTATTATCATCCTTTCTAACAACTCAAACTAGTAAACACACCAAAATGGGGCACTTTGTGTGTGTCACTAACTCAAATAGTGGAAGCTCCGGAGAACTTATCAGGAATCCAACTCCAATTGAAATGTCAAACAAATTTGACAGGATCCACAGTAAAGTTCTTCCAGTGTTAACAATTTACCAACTAGTAACACAGGATTTTAAAAAATCATTGAGATTGGTTTGCAGATGTCTACAATACTAAAAAGAATCTTTTCTTTCTTACCTTAAGCCAATAACACCTGTGTAAACTTTGTTTGAAATGTAATCATGCAAATGTCATCAGCTAGGTCTTTTGCTCCAGTATTAAAAGTAGCCTAAAAGCTTTTAAGACACCTGAAATTTTGGTAGCACCCCATACAGCCTGCCCTAGCTGTGCAGAGACAGAGAGGGTCTGACTCTTGATGCCTGCAGTCCAGATGGAAGCAAGTTAAGACATCCCAAACAAACTCCTTTCTATCCCCACCTCACTGCACAGATCCCCACCTACCCCCATGGAATCTGCTTTTCCCCCCAAGCCCTACCTAGATGGGGTAGAATCCTGTCTCTCAGACTACGTCTACACTACAGGGCTGTGTCTACATTGGCACCCTTTTCCGGAAAAGGGATGCTAATGAGACAAGTCGGCATTTGCATGAACATGGCTGCCGCTTTTTTCCGGCTCAGGGCTTTGCCAGAGAAAAGCACCAGTCTAGACGGGATCTTTCGGAAAATAAAGCCTTTTCCGGAAGATCCCTTATGCCTCTTAAATTCAGGAATAAGGGATCTTCTGGAAAAGGCTTTCTTTTCTGAAAGATCCTGTCTAGACTAACGCTTTTCTCCGGCAAAGACCCAAGCCAGAAAAAAGCGGCAGCCATGTTCATGCAAATGCCGCGGGGGTATTTAAATCCCCCGTGGCATTTGCAATTCCGACTTGTCTCATTAGCATCCCTTTTCCGGAAAAGGGTGCCAATGTAGATACAGCCCAGCAGTTTTGTGCAAAAACCCATGGGCTAGGTCTACACTGGCCCCTTTTCCGGAAGGGGCATGTAAATTTCATGAGTCGTCGTAGGGAAATCCGCGGGGGGATTAAATTAAAAATGTCCGCCGCTTTTTTCCGGCTTTTAAAAAAGCCGGAAAAGAGCGTCTAGACTGGCCCCGATCCTCCGGAGGCTCTTATTCTTACTTTGAAGTGTAAGGGGCCAGTGTAGACGTAGCCATGGAGTGTACACACTTCAAGCACGTTTTTGCGCAAGTAAATTTATAGTAAATAAAAAGAACAGAGGGGTTTTTGCGGTGTAGGTATTCCTCTGTCTATGAGGAATAACTCCTTTTTGCACAAGAACTCTTGTGCAAAAAGGTGTGTATACAGGCAAGAGGGGAGTGTTGTGCAAAAAGAGCCAATTGAAAGAAGCACAGGTGCTCTGGTGGCTAGTCTGTGAATGGAAATCAGACCTTTCTTTTGAGAGAGCATCCATGCAGTCTTTTCGCTCTCTTGCACAAAACCACATTGCTTTTGTGATGTGCTTTTGTAGTGTGGACACGCTCTTGTGCAAGAAGTTTTTGCGGAAGATCTCTTCTGCGAAAAGCTTCTTGCACAAGAAGCCTGCAGTGTAGACATAGCCTCAGAGTTGCAGGCATTGGCAACTTCAAGACATATTACCGAAAGGAAGTAGAACAAGTTTGACCCAAAAGTATAGGACAGTTCTTACCTTATTACTCTGGCTGATTCACTTATCCCCAGGATAGTTCTGTACAGCAGGGCTACGTCTAGACTACATCCCTTTTTCGTAAAAGGGATGTAAATTAGACGTATCGCAATTGCTAATGAAGCGGGGATTTAAATCTTCCCCGCTTCATTAGCATAAAAACGTCTGCCGCTTTTTTCAGCATGGAGGTCTGTCGGAAAAAAGCGCCAGTCTAGATGCTGATCTTGCGGAAAATAAAGCCTTTTCCGAAAGATCCCTTATCCCTCTATGAAATAAGGGAGGTAGTCTAGACGTAGTCTGGATGTTTCTCCTTGGACCAGGCTGGCAGAGATTCCGGGGGAAGGATTGCCTTCCTCTGCAGCATGAGGCATGGGTCACTTGCAAGTTAAACTAGTGTAAGTGGTGAGTTTTCTTTAAGCCATTATTTGAGGACTTCAGTAACTCAGCCAGAGACTGAGGGTCAGGCACAGGAGTGAGGAGATGAGCTTCTGTGGCCTGAATCACGCAGGTCAGACAAGATGGTCATAATGGTAGTTTTTGATCTGAAAGTCGATGAGTAGTAGCACATTGGCTGTGTCTTTGGTAGATGCTGTAATTAATCATGGCTGTTCTCCTCTGCCTTTGAATCTCCCATTTTGGATCATTATTGACCAGAATCAATGGGCGATTCTTGTTATCCTAACAAAAATCAGTGTTTGCCTCTTGCTGTTTGAAGCCCTTTTGTTCCCATTGCATAGGGCTTCCCAGGAGACTGCGGTCCACCAGCCTGCTGTGGAGAGGGAGCACACAAGATGCCCTTGCGCTCCTGAAGGATGATGTTCTGGTAGCTGACCCAGGAACCAGGTCAGGAGTATTTACCTTCTCTCAGCAAGTATCTGGTGACTAGCAATGCTTACCTGCTAGACTCAGAACCAGAGCTGTGAGTGATGCAGGCAGCTCTATCTGCTACAGTACAAGCCCCCGCAAATCTCGTTCCCTGGAACATGCCATTCACTCATGGAAAATCATTGCGTCATAAGCTTGGAAGAGCCCTCAGGAATCATCACGTCCAGGCCCCTGCCCAAAGCAGGGCCATCGCCAAGGAAATCAACCCAGCCAGGGCTTTGTCCAGACAGGACTTAAAAACCTCTAGGGATGGAGATGCCACCCCTTCCTAGGGAACCCGTCCCAGCGCTTCTCCACCCTCCTAGAGAAATAGTTTTGCCAAATATCCAACCTAGCCCCCCCCCTCCTTGTTCTGCCACCACTGAGAACAGCCTCTCTCCAGCCTCTTTGGAACCTCCCTTCAGGAAGTTGAAGGCTGCTCTCAAATCCCCCCTCACTCTTCTCTTCTGCAGACTGAACGAGACCAAATCCCTCAGCCTCTCCTCATAGGTCATGTGCTCCAGCCCCCTCATCATTTTCATTGCCCTCCACTGGACCCTCTCCAATACGTCCACATCCTTTCTGTAATGGCAGGGCTAAAATTGGAAACAATACTCTAGATGTGGCCCCACCAGACCCGAATAAAGGGGAATAATGACATCTCTGGATCTGCTGGCAATACTCCTCTTAATGCAACCTAATAGGCCATTAGCCTTCTTGGCTACAAGGGCACACTGTTGACTCATCTCCAGCTTCTCATGCACTGTAATCCCTAGGTCCATTTCTGCAGAACTGCTGCTTGGCCAGTCGGTCCCCAGCCTGTAACAATGCTTGGGATTCTTCCATCCCAAATGCAGGACTCTGCCCTTGTCCTTGTTGAACCTCATCAGATTTCTTGTGGCCCAATCCTCCAATTTGTACCATTGGATACAGAGCAAGAAGACAAAGTGGAACAGTTTGAAAGTCAGCATTCTCAAATAGTGGTAGCCCAGACAGCAGGGAGGCAAGGCCATTCTCCTACATTAACCCATGTCCCAGGGCTGATCTATGTCTGGTGCAGAGGACAGAATTTGCACCTGCAGTTTAGAAGGCACAGGCTGAGGTCTTAGTGATGCAATCCAGAAAAAAATCCAGTTGTCAGATAAAGAAATTCTATGCAATGAGCACATGGCAGTAATATCTATATTACTGTTACGAGCCCATTTTGAAAGTCAGGCATTTTGCAGTTAAAAAATGCCAAATTGAAGTTGCTAGATAATAGAGACAAATGCAGAACAGAATCAGTCTAGAAGACAGAACAGAATCCAGAGGCTGGACACGGGACAGTAGCCAAATTCAAACTCAACCTTTGCATATTTTGTAGTCAGGATAATTAACCCTTTGAACAACTCACCTAGGAACGTGGTGGACTCTCCATCCCCTGGATTAGTCACCTAGGGTGTGTCTAGACTACATGCCTCCTTCGACGGAGGCATGTAGATTAGCCAGATCGGAAG